GTATATGGTCGACTGCTCGTCTTTTTCCAAGGAAAACCGAGACCGGGCAACGGGCGTGTTGTTCTCTCTGCAATTTTTCTTCTAGCCGCGAAACACTGCTGCGTCACTTAGCTCATGTTAGTCAAGTAGGATTACCGTACCGTCACCTGAATCTTGTAATGTTTTGTTGCGTACGAAGAACTGGATCTCGTCCTCGAGATAGAAATCTTTGCCATAGCTAAAACCCCTCCCCCCTTGGATTGCCGTTTCTTCGATCCCTTTCCTCTCCCCCTTCCCTCCCAGAAGAGCGACGTTTCGCTAACAAGAACCTTGAAAGGATCTCCCCGAATAAGATCGAGGGTGATTTATCACCGGTAACCCATGGTCCTGGCGCATTTTTCCTATCCCGTCCACGTATCTCTCCTCCCTCCCCTTCCCTACCCCTCCCTACGTATCTTCTTACACCGTTGAAAACCGTGCATCGACCGATGCAATTGACCATTGTTGCAGGGGGGGCCGTGTCCGATGCATATCCCGGTTGAATGGATTCCTTGAATATGAAAACGACATTATTTATACGTTGACAAGGCGACAACAATAAGAATGGAGGGGACATTAATCACAGGGTTTGCACAGTTTATGTCCATTGAACAGCTCCCGTCCACCACTGTCGAATTGAATTACGCTCCCACCGAGCGCCAGGCATCTATCAAACGCAGACGCGCTTTGATCAACGCAGTCAATCGTGTCTGCACAGAGCTCGTAAACCCGATTGCCGGTAAGATGTCCTGATCGCGCAACTGAATACCGATTCGGTTTGATTACGACTGATTTCAAGCTGTGCCTCGAGATAACCACCCCTCCCCTCCTTCTCAACTATAATACGTTCTTAACTCCCGCGATAATCGACCAGTTTCCAATAAAATTACGCAATAAATCTCGCTTTTATTTCCAATACCGAATATCTTTAACGCGTTTGGAATAAATATTCATCCGTTTGATATTCCACTTGATCGACCGACTGTCTAAATATTCTCTTCGCTCGATAAAATTCCGCTTCTCTTTCGTATTATTTTTAAAATTCTCAATAATAGATATTCGCATCCGTACGATATTTGAAATATCTTTAAAATTATTCAGACGGATATTTATTATCCTTTTTTTGCGAAGATTGAAAACGGGCAATGGTAACAATAATCGGGACTTTTCTCGAACCGTTTTTGAATGCATCCGGATTTATTCGGTAAATACGACAAAGCTTATTCTCGCGCTTCATTCGGTGTAACTCGAACGTTGATTTACGGCGTCTGTGCGGCACGTAAAACCGGACACAATGCGCCCCATCCACGCTCAGAAGGCTCGGTGAAACGGGTCCGTTTCAATCGTCCTTAATCGAGTAAGTTCGCATATAGTTGTTTGTTCTCCGCCCGCCGCCATGGCTATTCCACGTGTGACCCACTGGAGCACAATGGCCACTGCTCTTTCCCCCGGTCGCTCGACTGTCAGCAGCCAGTGCCTGTGTAAATACGATACGGCACTCGCTTTTCGTGCTTTCAAGCACAGTTTAAAAACGAGGAAAGGTCAAAAAAACAGAGATAGAGTGGAGCGTAGAACGAGAGAGAGAGAGAGAGATGTGAAAAGGTGCAGTGCGTGAAGGATGGAAATTGCTCCGCTTGGTTTTCAATTTACACTTCGTACGACAGTGCTTTCCTCCTCGTTCGCGAGGAGGAATCACTCGCATAAAAATAATATTTTACAGCTGGATTGCTGTATTTTACGTTGCGTAGGAAAAACAACTTTATCCTCGATCCACGCAACATCCACGTCTGCCTAAAAGAAAATTTACCAAAATTTATATATTTTTATTCTTCCACTCTTTCCATCGAGCTCACAATCCTTAACAGCAAATCAGACTAATCCCAATAATTCATCCACCGTTTTTCAATTTTAAACGTTGGATGTAGATATTTGCCAATTTTGCGCGCCAAAATTGCGCTTCATCGAAACACGTGGATGGACAAGTTTACGTTCGAAACTGCGAAGCGATTCGTAGATTTTGGGGGATTCAGGCGTTTGAACAACATCTCGCATGAACATCTCGTTACCACGATCGTCGATTTAAAGTTCGTTATACCGGTGACGATCGATATAATGGATTTCGGGATACGGGAGAGAGAGAGAGAGAGAGAAAGAGAGAAAGGAAGAGAAGAAGATGAGGGTTAAGTTATATAGGCTAGAATCGGCACGACGAAGAAAAACGGGTTAGCTTGATTGCTAGGCGGATCGCAGTCGGTGATTTGAGGCAATCTACCAGGTTCTTGTTACTCTGGACGACGAGTAATAACCGTAATGGGAGCCGGTCTTCGAAGGTAACTATCCTTCTTTCGATTCCATCTCTCCTTCGATCTTATTGTCAA